TTCTTGTTATGGGAACAGAGAACTCGAAAAGACAAATCCAGTTACCACATTTGGCTCCATGTTGGCAGATCTTCGTGTTAGCTAAGAAAATTCATGAGTTGGAGAGTTTATGTTAAATCTTTCAATTTTTAAATCTTAGCAATGGACTCACTTTTTTAAAACCCAAAGGACTGAATAATACGTGTTTATCAGACCAAATTATGACTCAGTGTATGTCCAGCTACAAGCTGAACAATGAAAGCTAGTTTTATGCCCTTGTGGTGACTCGGGCAGAGTATTTTCAGATGTCTTTGCTCATCTGAGCTATTTATATTTGCTTCTCTCTCCCTCCCTGTTGATTCTGGCTGCCAAATTTTGGACATTATTCAGCTCTGTACTCTGTCCCCCTCCACACCAAACACAGTGCCAGACCATCTTAGACACTGATAACATGTCCAAAATAAACTTAAGTTTTGCTAGGGGCTGGCATTATGGCGCAGCCCTGTTAAGCTGCCACCTGTGATGCCGGCATCCCATATGGGCACCAGTTGGAGTCCCGGCTGCTCCACTTCCTACTAATGTGCCTAAGAAAGCAGTGGAAGATGGCCCAAGTGCTTGGGTTCCTGCCACCCAAGTGGGAGACCCAGATGGAGTTCCAGGCTCCTGGGTTTGGCCTAGACCAGTCCTAGTCATTATAGCCATTTGAGGAATGAACCAGTGGATGGAAGATATCTCTCGTTCTCCCTGTGTGTCTCTCTTTCTGTCTTTGTAACTCTGCCTTTCAAATAAATGCCTTTTTTTTTTAAGTTTCATTACCACCAAGAATCTTAATATATTTATTCACAGCCTTCAACTCATGAATTTGCGTCTAGGAATTTAATTAATCAGGGATTACAGTGCAATGTTCTTATGAAAGAATTTTAGCTCATCTTGATATAAAGTAGTGAAAATGGGGAAGAAAATTCTAAATATCCAGTCATAGGAATTAGTGAACATATTACAGTACAAATAAAGTTCTGTAACCATTACAATTATGTTCAAGGGTGTGGGTGTTTAGCCTGGCACTAAGATGACCATGTCCCACATCAGTACCTGGGTTCAGTACCTGGCTGTGCTCCTGACTCCAGCTTCCTGCTAATGCAGATCCTAGGAGGAAGCAAGTAACTGTGTTCTTGCCACTCACATAGGAGATGTGGCTTGTATTTCCAGCTCCTAGCATCAACTCAGTCCAGTCCTGATCCAGTCCCAAGTGCTGTTGGGGCATTTGTGAACCAGTGGATAGGAGCTTTCTCTCTTTGACTACCTCTCTCTCTTTCCCTTTTCCTCCCTCTCAAGTAAATAATAATAATAATAAATTATTATGCTTGGGACTGCTTGCAACATCTTCATTTCATATCAGAGTGCTGGTTCAAGTCTGGGCTGCTCCACTTCTGGTCCAGCTCTCTGTTAACACACCTGGGAAGGCAGCAGGTGACAGCCCAAGTGCTTGGACTCCTGCCACCCATGTAGGACACCTGATTGCAGTTTCTGGATCCTGGCTTCATCCTGGCCCCTGGCTGTTGCAACCATCAGAGAAATGAACCAGCAGATAGAAGATCTCTCTCTCTCTCCCTCTCTGTAACTCTGCCTGTCAAATAAATAAATATTTTTTAAAAATTATCTTGAATATTAAGGTCATGAAAATTATCAGGAAATATGCTAAGTGGAAAAAGAAGGCTACACAATTACACACTATTTACATACTAGAGAAAACACAGTCAATATATGGTAATATGAAATATATAATAAGTACGTGCAAAGAAAAAAACTTTAACATTGGTTCTCTTCAAATTAGGATTTGAAAGGCTTCCCCTCTCCTTCATCTCCTGGTTCACCCCCCAAATGCCCATGACAGCCAGGCCCAGACTGAGCCAAAGCCAGAGTTCAGAACTCAATCTGGGTCTCCCATGTGGGCAACAGGAACTCAAGTACTTGAGCTATTATCTGCTTTGCCACAGTGCCCACCCCTAAAAGGATCTCTCTCTGTCTTTTTAAATTACGGGGCTGGACATCTGGCACAAACAGTGAAGATGTTGCTTGGGAAGCCGACATCCCATATATGAGTGTTTGGGTTTGATCTCAGCTCTGCTTCCATTCCAGCTTCTTTCTAATGCAGGTGCTGGGAGGAAGCGGTGATGGCCCAAGCGCTTGGGTCCCTGCCAGTCATGTATGAAACCTGGATTGAGTTTCTGGCTCCCGGCTACAGCCTGGCCTAGCCCGGTGGCCGCACACTTTTGGGGAGTAAATCAGTGTATGGGAAGATCTCTCCGTTTCTCTCTCTGCCTTTCAAGTAAAAAATAATAATTAGAAAATAAAATCACAAACATGACATTTTTAACATGGGTAGACTTAGACATGTTAGGGAAACGTATTGTCTTAAAACCTCCATCTTCTCTCTCACCCAGAGACACCCAAGGCTAGCAGCTCCAGATTCGGTTTCCTCAGTGTAACCGCTGCACATCTGTGAGACCGCCCCGTGTGCACCCCGGCTTTCCCGTTAGCCTGGATCGAGACCTGCACCCCTTGGCGTTGAGGGGCAGGTAGAGGTGCCTCCCGCTCCACGGTGAGGGCGAATCCCAACCTGACTTCGCTCTAATGGCTATTCTACACGCCCCCAGGGTTACCCAACTATACAGCAACGAACAGCGCAGGGCGGAACGGAGGAAAAGCCTCTAAAAAACACTAAGGGGGGGAGGGATGTCGTCCCGGGTTGGTTGATTTTTTTTTTTAACCTTCCAGTGTTCTGTTTTCCCCACATTTTATGCAATAGACATAAATCACTTATAATTCGGAAAGCAAAACAAAACTAAAACCAAACATTTTTTAAAAAGGGAAACAAAAACTGGCGAGCCGACGGGGAAGTCCAGGTCCCTTTCGGGGAGGGGGGCAGGGAGGCGGGCGCCACGGCCCGCACCAATCGCAGCTCGGGTGCCAGGGCCCCGCAAACAGCCACCGGCGCGCGCTGCCGTAAGCAGCCTGGAAACCCGCTCGGGCCTATCCCTCGCGCCGCCGCCGCCGGCGGCTGCGATTGGCTGCCAGCAAGCCCCGCCCACCTCCCTCCTCATTGGCCGCCGCGGCTTGCGTCAGAGGTGCCTGTTGCTGAGCAAAAAGTAGTGCGTGCGGCTGGGCGTCCTGAGGTCAGAGGAGCAACGCTAACCGCCGTTTCCTCAGCGCCTCAGACGTGCCGGGCCCCGTGCTCCCAGCTTTTCACAGGGAGCGCTCCTTGCCGCTTTTCTTGAGCACCCACACAGCCAGGAGCGTTATCAATGAAGTACAGCTTCTTCATTGCCATCAAGCCTCGCGAAGGGGTTTGACAAACAGCACTGTGGAGGAAAACCTCTCTGCAAAGGGGTAGAACTGGAACCTTCAGCTCCCAGATCTCGATCCCAGTTGCAGGCTTTGCTGCTGATGAGGGGTTTAGAAGTCTTTTGGGAGTAGGAAGAGCTGGGACAGGATGGTGGCCAGAGCCAGGGGTGTTGCTCTAGGGCAGGTCTATATAGGGGTGAGGGCGAGCCTGAGGAGTTGGGGTGGGGGAAGGGAGGGCAGGAAAGTGGGGCTCCGTGAGGCAGTCTTAAGGTGAAATCCAGTCCTCGATCTCAAGTTTCTAGCCTCCACTGTGTGGTCAGCTTTCTGGGCAAAATCTCTCCGGACCCGAGGCTCCCCGCTCCCAGGCTAAGAGCCGGAACAATGTCCGTTCAGGCCGCGAAGCCCTTTGAGAGACTGGCCCTTGCTGGCAGCAGGAAAGTCTTCAGCAACCACACGGTCCTGGCCTTTTCGCCAGACCTTTGGGCGATGTCACGGGACCCAAAGATCTATAAACGCGGAACGGTTTGGGGGGCGGTCTTGGGGCCACCCTTTTTCCCCAGCCAGTTCTGGCTGAGCCGTGGCAGGGCCCGACCTGCAGGGGGCGCTGAGGGCTCACGCAGCCGACGAAACTCAACGGGAACGCTAAGCAAATAGCCCCAAAGCACCCAGCGGGTTAGTTTTCCTATTTTAATAAGAGGAGCGAGCTTTTCCAAACCTGAGGGTTTCTGTCCTGGACGCAACCCAGCAAAGCGAAGCATATGCACCGCGCAGCACCAGTTCCCTCGACAGGGGCTCTGGAGGTTAGAGCAGCTCAGGTCAATTCTTTTGTTTTAGGGATGAGGAAACGGATTCTGAGAGCTGAGACAAAAATCAGCTGGGATCGCAGAGCTAAAAGCTAGCACCCCGGTTGCCTGACTCCTGGAATGTGGTCTTGGGAGATAGATAGCTGACTCCAAGAGTGTATGGCTGCCCCCAGTACACATCTCTGGGGGAACAATTTCAGTTCTGCTTGGGTAGCGGGACGGCTCAGAACAAGTCTGCTGGAGCAGGGAGGGCCTCCCCCAGCACCGAGCACCATGCGGGCTTCATGAGTAATGGAATGAATGTGTGAATAGGCCGGTGGAGAGTGGATCTGTTCTGACTTTATCAAGCCTGTGGGAGGGGGATTTCTTTCCTTGAAAACCTCCTGGGGCAGGGGTTGTGTTCTGAGATTCAGAGAGCTGAGGGAGGAAGACAATAAGAACTCAGAAAATGACATTTGGGCTGATAAATCATAGCTCTGGAATGGTGGCGATATAAGGTTATCATAGCAAGGGCACCCCGGAATTTGGGATTAGAAAATGAATTTAGGAAGAATAAACCCAGAACAGATGAGAATCCTGTGAGAGTCATAATCTGAAAGAGAAGCTGAAGCCGGAAGAAACCTGAAAAACATTTCAAATCCAATCTAGACTTATCTTCAGGACTGGAATGCAATTGAGGAATAAAAATAGCTTTGGCCAATCAGTGGCCTCAACATAGCTGATGCAAGAGTCGAGAGAGTATGGCAACAGGAGGAAGAGATCTTCACTGAACCAAAAATCACAAGGCAGGGGGGAGGGGAGGAATGTGCCCGGGCTGGGGCCACACCCCACCCTCTCGGCATCCCACTGGGCTGGCAGCTTTGTGGCTGGATTCCCAGAGCCCAGCACAGTGTCTGGTACACACACCACGGTCAATAAATATTTACTGAATGAAAGGAAGGAAAGCAATGGAGCTCTGACCGGCAGATTTGCTCTGAGTCGAGTGAGTTCAGTGATTCATCTTGGTTCATGGTTCCTTTTGCCAGGACTCCAGCTGCTGTGGCCATTTCCAGGGGATAACTTGGCTTTTCACACATGCTCCCCTACAAGGAGGGATGTGCTGACCCATCTATTAGAGGCCACTTGATAGTTATGTTCCTCACTGCCAATTAATACACCTGCTCTAAGCACCAGTTCCTGTGCCTGCCTGCTCCTTGCAGATTCACGTCATCCTCTCATTTGGGTGTGCTGGAGTTTCTACTTTGGATTCATAAATGCCTGGGTTTGAGTCCTGGCTCAGAATGCTAAGCCGTCTGGCCTTGGCCAACACACCTCCTAAGCCTGTTTTCTTGTCTGTTAAATGGTGCCCTAATACCTGCTTCACAGGGTTGTGTGAGAGCTACATGAGACAGCAGCTGTGCCACTCCTGCTGTAGCCCAGTTAATGGTAGTGACTGTGCCGCTTCTTGTCTTTCCTTCCTTGCAGATTCCATGACAAAAGACCGCCCAGTTTAGTATATCAGCCTCTTTGGCTTTTCCTTCTCACAAATCACTCGCTTTGCAAATGAAGTGTTGGGAATGATCTAATCATGTCCTGGAATATTCTAAAAGGTTACTCTGCAGAGGAGAATAACTCATATTTATTCAAAAATATCAGGGCTGGCATTGTGGCACAGTGGGTTATGCTGCTTCTTGCAATGCCAGCATACCATATCGGAGAGCCAGTTAGAGTCCCAGCTGCCCCACTTTCAACCCATCCCGCTGCTTACATTCCTGGGAAAGTAGCAGAAGATGGCCCAAGTAGTGGGGCCCCTGTCACCCATGTGGGAGATGAGTAATGTGATCAGGAAAATTCTCTCTTTTTTCTCTCTCTCTGTGTCACTTTCCCTTTCAAATAATAAAAATCATAAAAAAAAAAAAAACACAGTGAAGGCATTGAATGCTGGATACAATTTCAGTGGTCAGGGATTTACAACAAGGAGTACTGAAAAAAAAGTTTCAAGGCCAAACAAGAAACATGGGTGTGGCACATGATGAAACTGACAAAATAAATTGAATCACATCTTGGCAGATTTTGAACATCGAACTTTGTAGTCTGGACATTGATATTATAGAGTAAACTTTTTAGAATGAAAACTAAATTTGACAGGGTAGCTAACAGGGGAATTTAATTGAAGATTCTAGGGCATATTATTAGCAGAACATTGTGATAGGTGACATAGGACAAGAGACAAAGATGCCCTCAAGAAGCATATAACTGGGCCAGCATTGTAGTGCCCATATGGGCACCCAGCTGCTCCACTTCCAATTCAGCTCCCTGCTAATGTGCCTGGGAAAGGAGCAGAAGATGGCCTGAGTCTTGGGCCCCTGAATGCATGTGGGAGACCCAGAGGAAGTTCCTGGCTCCTGGTTTTGGTCTGGCTCAGTCCTGGCCTTTGCAGCCATTCAGGGAGTGAACCAGCGAATTGAAGATCTCTCTCTCTCTCTCTCTTTCTCTCTCTCCCCTTCTCTCTCCCTCCCTCTCTCTCTAGCTCTGCCTTTCAAATAAATAAATAAATACATCTTTTATAAAAGAAGCTTATAAGCAGATAAGACAATATAAACACAATTTGTAATACAAAGTACATGTGATAAGTGTTAAAACAGAGACCCCAGCCCAAGTGCTTTGGGAGCTCAGCAGTAGGTTAGATTAGCTTCCTTGTCTGAGAAAGCTGGAGGCAGAACGAGACAGAGGCTCATCCTTGGAATCTAAACCCAGATTAGACAAGATCCCCTCCATCCTTGCCCCCTCCAGGATCCCATGCCCAGAATAAACAATGACATTCCAACTGAAACACAGGAGCCTGTGCTGTGGCGCAGCAGGTTAGGCCGCCAGCATCAAATATTGGAGTGCTAGTTCGAGTCCCAGCTACTCAGCTTCCAGTCCTGCTCCCTGCTAATGTGCCTGAGAAAGCAGCGGGGGATGACTCCAGTCCTTGGGCCCCTGCATCCCCGTGGGAGACCCCTGGGCTCCTGGCTTCAGCCTGGTCCAGCACTGGCATCAGCAGATGGAAGACCCCTCCTCCACCCCCTTCTTCCTCTCTGTCACACTGCTTTTCAAATAAATATTTTTTTTTAACTTGAAACCCAATGGGTCAAGAAAAAACATGGAGGAAGAGGCTCTGTGGGAACCTGGCTTTGGGCCCTGGGGTGCTGTAGATGCAACTTCCTTGCAAGAGGAGAGCTGAAGACCAGGAATCGGATGAGATCAGGGAGAGTGTGTCTGGAGAGAAGAGGGATGAAAACAGAAACTAAGGGAGCACCCACGTTTTAGGGAGTGGGAAGAGAGGGGGGAGTGGCCAGAGGATGAGGTAAGCATAGACTCAGCAGAGCACCTCGTTACTAAGTTTCGCTTAGGAGGGTGGCAGCTGTGGAAGGGTGGAAGACAGGACGGAGGCCCCTGGGGCGCAGAAGGCAGAAAGTGTTGTGACCCGGCTGGAGATCAGGCCCGAGGTTGGCGGACAAAGGAGTTTACAGGGACTCCACAGTGAGTGGATCCCCCGGGTCTGGTACGATTAGGGGCCTGGCAAACATGGTGGCGTCCTCTGACTTCCATCAATCTCTAATTAGTACCACTGGATGGCCGCCGGGGCCAAAGCCCTCCTAACCCTAACCAGTCTCTCCAGGAACCAAGAAGTTGAAGCACTCACTCGGGAGGGATTTCACACCTGGCTTTCTGGCCCAGCCCGGTGCAGTCCCGTTTCGTCACGCAGCCCCTAATGACTCTGCGGGCTGTCACTCTCCTACGGCTTCGTCTGCGAGGTGACTAAACGCCTCTTGCAAAAGTTTGCAGCATTCGTCCGAGGCCAACTACAGCTCCCAGGGTGCCCGCGCGCCGCCCGGCGCCGATTGGCCGAGCGCTCGGCTCCGGGGGGCGGAGTCGCCCCCGCCTCCCCGGGAAACAGGCAGGCGATTGGCTGGGCCGCAAGGCTTTTGTGTCCCCGCCCTCCCCCGGAGACCGCAGCGGGCTCAGAGGCGCTGCTGGTGTCACAGCCGGACGAGCGCTGGCAGTTCCGCGGCGGGGATGCTGAGCGGCGCCGGGTCCGTGAGCAGCCCCGGCCACTGCGGACGTCCGAGGCACTCCGGGCCCTGAGAACCCCTTCGCTACCGCCACTCCGGGGGCTCCCGAGGCCGTTCACTGTCCCAGAAGCCAGACAGGGTCGGGAAGAGTCCAGCGTCGCACCGGCCGCGCTTCGGCTCGCGAGTGTCCTGGAACCCCCGAGAGACACCGCGGGGTTCTCGAGCCTCCCCGGCGGCCCCCAACCCCGGCCTCCTGCGCGCGTCCGTGCACAACCCCCTCCGGCGCCCGTGTCCTGGCGCACACCATGATCGTTGCAGACTCCGAGTGCTGTGCCGAGCTCAAGGGCTACCTGCCGTTCGCCCGGGACGGCGGCGGCGGCCCGGGCGCAGGGCAGGTAAGCGGCGCCGTGCGTTCCTGGAGCCCCGGGGCGCGTCGGAGCCCCCGGCAGTCCCGGGCTCGGGGAGGGGGCGTGCAGCGTGTAACCCCGATCCGAGGTTGCATCAACTGGCAGCCCGGCCCTCCCCCGCGCCCCCTCCCGCGGCTGTGGAGCCCTCCGCTCGGACTCCCGGCCAATGGGAAGGAAAGCCTTCTCCGTGCTCTCCGGGGTTTGGGCTGTGGTGGAGAGCGTCTTCAAGTCCAGGCAAATCCCGGCCGGAGCAACCGGACCGCTCCTCCTCCCCGCCCCCTTCCGCAGAGTCCCTTCCTCTTAGCGGGCGCGGGTGGGCGGAGGACTCTTTCTAGGATGCGTCTCTGCTCCTGTCCCCCAGAGTGGGGACGGGGACACCTGGGACCCGCCGGTCGGCACCCGGACCGAGTATTTGGAGGGGGCGGGACGGGTACCCCGGTACGCGCCGGCGGCAGCTGAAGCTGCGGGCTGCCTGGGACACCCCTGGCCGCGGCTTCGGTTAAGCTGCGCCCTAGTAATGGGTCTGAGGTCTCCTAAGTTTGTTTCTCAGCCTCTGGCCCAAAGATCCCACTTTTCAAGAGAGGCAAGGAAAAGGGCTGGCCCTGATCTTAACAATTCTGTCTCTCTGTCTCTTTGTCTCTCTCTGTCTCTTTGTCTCTTTCATACACACACACACACACACACACACTAGCAGCAATGATGAACATCTTATCATCCAGTAAGCACCTACTAGGTGTCAGGCTTCCCATTTTGCAGGGAGATAAGATTGAGGCCCAAGACTGCCTTGGGAAAATGCCTTCACCAACCCCACCAAGTACCTTATTTTGGGGACCTGATGCCTCTAGGATTTCTGAAAGCGCTTGGCCCTACAGGGAGTTTTGTTGGGCGGTGAGGCGACTTGCTGGGGCCGGGAGCTGGTTCAATTGCTAGTCATAAGCTCTGTGACCCAGGAGGGGAAAACCCTCCTTTTTCTAAGCGTGGTGATAGTTGGGGGTCCTGCTGCAGTGGTGGAGGGTTTGTGGGCTGGCTGTTCTGTGAGCCTGCTTCTCCCCACCCCTCACGACTTAGCAGGAATGAGCCTCGCTCCTGCATCCTCTCAGCTGTGTGGCTCTGGCCCAGTCACTTCACTTGGCTTCTTTGTGGGACATGGACATGATGTTATTACTGAGAGCAGCTGGGCACCAGGGCATGCAAGGGCTGGGTTCAGGTCCCAGCCCTCCCACTCACTGGCCCTGTGATCTTGGCAGAGTGCTCTCTCCTCTGATCTGCTGTTTCTTCCCATGGGGATTTGATAGTATCTCCAAGGGCTCGTGGGGAAAATTAACTCAAAATAGGAGCAGTGGCGGGAGCACAGTGCCTGAAACGGGGTCACTGCATCAAGCACCCTGACTTGTCGGAACGCAGTCAGAGCGCACAGCCCCCTTCCCCCAGAGTGTCTTTTTTTTTTTCCTTAAAGACTTATTTATTTTTATTTATTTGAAAGGCAGAGTGACAGAAGGACAGAGAGAGGGACAGAGGGAAATCGTCCATCCACTGGTTCATTCCCCAAAGGGACGCAACATCTGGGGCTGGGCCAGGCTGAAGCCAGGGAACCAAGTACCCCACCCAGGTCCCCGACGTGGGTGGCAGGGGCCAAGCGCCTGGGCCACTGCGCGCCCTTCCAGGCACACCAGCACGGGGAGTGCTGGAGCCCATGCTCCCCACTGGGAGGAGGTCTAGGGAGGAAAGAATGCCTCGGGTCCGGGGCGGGGGGCTTCAGGTGGAAACTGCTGTTTTGCAGAGGGGAAAGCTGATGGTGTCTGAGAGGTCGCCATGATTCTCTCTGGAGGAAAGAGCTCCTTGGGAAAGTGTCTGCTCTGAGTAGAACCCTGAGGAGCTAGCCGGGTGCAGAGCTCAGAGCCTGCACCCAAGGGAAGAGCCCTCCACCCCCTGCTTGCTTCACCACACACCCCTTCCAGGGGGTCCGGGCCTTCAGGTGTGTGTGTTTCCAGAAAGTTCCGGGGGCTTCATTCTACTACAGGTCTCCAAAAAGTTCATGGAAAATGCAAGTTACGAAAAAAAAAAAAAACCCAACTTGCATGGATTTTAAAATGTCTATACCCAAATAAACTTATCTTTTGATTCCATTTTCTATGAACTTTTTGAAGTCTCTGTGTATGTTTTGAAAGCCCTCTTTGGGCACTGGGGTAACTTCCTCAAACATCACTTCCCCCAGGATGGGGGAGGGAAGTCGTCCCTTTGCATCCAGTCCACCTTCTCCACAACAGGAGCTCTTATCCCAGTTATGCGACTTGGTGTTGTGATTGGGTGCTTCTTCTCTGTCTCTGTTGCTGGACTTGAGGCCCAGCCCACCGGTCCCAATGCCGGCACTGCTCTTGGCAGCTGGCAAGAGCTCGAAGAGATTTGCCCCGTGTTGGCGTAGCTGACCCCGTGACCATTCAGGCCTTGAGGTCAGATCTCCGTCTCAGAGAGGACTTTCTGAGCCTCCGTGATCTACCTCTAAGGAAAGAATAAGACCCAGTTCCCTCAGGATGGTTGTGAGGAAGTGGCTAGATGTAGCTGGTGCCCGTTCATGGTGGGCATCCAAGCGTGTGGCACCACACCCCCACCAAGGCTGACGGTCAAGGGCTCCTTGGGGTGTGTCTCCCTCTCAAGTGTAAACGGTTGAAAGATGTGAGTTCAGGGGAAGGGTGGATAGTGTCTGCACCTTCCCAGCTGGCAGAGACTGAGCAGGTGTCTGTAGCAGAGGCTCGCCTCTCAGTCTCTATCAGGCACCAACACTGAAGGCTGAGGCTGTTGCCAGAGGTGGATGTGGGTGGTGGGCAGAATCTTTGGAAGCCGGGCTGGGGTCCAGTCTCTAGACCCGGGCCCATTGCCCGAAGCGGTGCTGGTGGAGTGGAAAGGACCCCAGCACCCAGAAGCCTGGATTCACATCTCACTTCTTCACTTGTCAGTGAACTCCTGATTTTCGTCCCTTAGAAAATAGAGACCACTCTCCGTGCAATCTGCCGAAGATTGGGTGGAGCCTGTGTGCGAGTACCGGAGTTAATGTAAAAAGTAACATCCAGCCAGCGCCTGCATCTGGAGCCAGGCACTCGGAGGGAGGTCTGAGACTGAGAGAGGGTGATCCTGCGGCAAGTGACCCCCTCACAAGGCACTAGGAGCAGCCACCCCGGGTCTCCTTCTCCCCTACACGAGTGTGTGACCTCGGGCAGGTGACTTGCCCGCTCTGGGCTGCCCTGTCTTCGTCTGTAGCGCAGGGGCGCAATCATGCCTTTATCAGGCGTGTAGAGCTCCATGTTCTCTACTGCGGGAGCTCCCAGTCACGTGTGGCCATTTCTGTTCAGGTAAATCAAAGCTTAAAAGAACAGCTTTCTGTTGCCCTGGCCACCTTGCAAATGCTCAGCCACAGTGACAAGGGACTACTGTGCAGACGGAAGCCATTGTGCCTCCACGGGGAGTTCTGCTGGACTGCGCTGTGCTAGCCACTGGGGGGACCCCAGAACCAGATCCAGTATGTGTGCCCCGAAGATGAGGAACAGTGTGCGGGGGGCCGGGTTGGGAGCAGCGGCTCCTGCTCCCGGCTGCTGTGGCTGGAACCCCGGATGCAAAGGCCTCGAGGCTCCTGAGAGGTCGAGAAATTTAGAGAATGGGGCGTAGTTTCCGCACTTGCGGGAAACCCGTGTGTCTCCCCACTCGCCTACCTCCTTCCTGGTTCAGTGACTGGAAATAACTTGACCCCTCGGAGCTCTGTGCCACAGCAGTAAAACGGACCATGCGAGGTACGGGACCCAGTGTGGTTGTCTGCCATTATTTTTGTTGACTCCCTACCCCAGGGGACGGAGGGGGTGGGGGTGGGGGCAGGGCTGATTTGGAGTTGTCATCTCTTGGCAGTGGATCCCTGCCCTGCCTGCTTTGCCTGGACTTCCCCTGGTGTCCGGGAAGCATTCAGGGTATTGGAACTGGGGGTTCAAATCTACTCGGCCTTGCTTTCAGTTTTACACTGCCGGTTCCCTCTGGCTGGGCTGTTGGTCCCTAGAACCCCTTTCAGGCCCTGCTGCCTTCTCGTCATATAGACAGCCACTCAAAGGGCACTTCTTTATGGCCTTTCCTGTCCACTTCCACGAGCGTGGCACCCACCCACCCACCCACACGAATGCTCTATCTCATTCACCTGGTAGAATCCGAATGGAAATCCTCGTCGTCCTTCACCTTTTCCCTGAGGTCCCAACCTCAGTATGAAGACTGAGGCTTTGTCTTTCCACTGCCGTGTTCTTGCTGCCTGCAGGGTCATCAAAAATATTTGTCAGGCGAACAAATTAATATGAGTTCTACCTGAGAAGCACTTAGCTTCAGAAAGTGATCACTAGATGTGCACGCAGTGGTCCTCACACAGGCTGTGCATTAGCTGGGGTCCCACCCCGGACCAATTAAATGAGACTTGCTGGAGATGAGACCCTGGCATGGGTCTTTAAAAAAAAAATCAGCTTCTCCAAGGATTTCTAATACACTGCTTGGGTTGAGAAGCCTCTGTTTGAAACAAGAACGAGGTTAATGGGAGCCAGCCTCTGAGGTGCTGACTGTGGTGGAGGTGCTGGGGTAGGCGTGCAGGTGTTGGCTCATTAAACCCTCAGGACGCCAGGGAAAGTTGGTACTATTATCCCCATTATTTGATGAGAAAACCGAGGCTCATATGGTGGTGGAGCTGTCTCCTGAGCCCAGGCCGCTGTGTCAGGAGCCCGCCCCCTACCCCCAATCCTTCACCGCCCCCTGCGTTGTCCCCATCACGGTTAGTACTGCTCGGAAACAGTGGTGGATCAGACCCACCGCTCCAAGTCCAGCAGGCACCAGAGCCCTCCTGCCACAGCGCCCAGGGTCAGATGTTGGGGTGACCTGGGATTCCCAAGGCTGTTCCCTGTCCCTCCCCGGCACCCCTCCCCCCCCCCACGGCCCCACCCCGCCCTGCCCTGCTGTGGTTTTCTATCTGTCCTCAGGTCCCCTGAGGGGGAGGCCCAGTGTGTGGAGTCAGCAATCCTTATCTCCCAGACAGAGCTGTTGGGCTTTTTCTCTCCGGTGAGGGTGGAGGGAGGGAGGGTGGAGAGGGAGCGCCTGGGGAGCCTGATGGTTCCTACACTGGGCTTGGACCCCTGGGGCCTGTGTGGGCTGACAGGGGCCCCAGCAGTCAGTCCAGCCACCTACTCTGTCCAGGAAAGCCGAGGGAACTTTCTCAGAGCCACACTGCAAGTTAGGAGTGCAACTGGTGCCCTCACTGGCGACTTCATGGTTCTTTCCTTTAGAGTATTCCAGAACCCCAGAGCACTGCCTGTCTCAGGGAGCTTTGTAATCACTAGACCTCATTTAAAAAAAAATTTTTTTTTTTTTTTATTTAGTTGGAAGGTCAAGGGACAAAGAGAGTCAGAGACAGATCTCCCATTTGCTGGTTCATTCTCTAAATGCCCCTAACAGCCAGGGCTGGGCCAGGCCGAAGCCAGGAGCTGAGAATTCAGTCCAGGTTTCCCTAGTGGGTGGCGAGGACCCAAGTACTCCGGCTGGGATTGGTAGCACAGCTGGGACCTGAACCCACAAACCCTCAGATATCTTAATCACAAGGCCAAGTGCCTGCCCCTCAGTCTGCATCTTAATGCTGACCAGTGTTCCTGTCCGATGAGGGCATGCCTCTGGTTTGGGGTAGCTGCTCCCGGAGCAGTGCTGAGATCCCCAGCACTTCCCAGTGAGCGTACACCTGTGTATCAACCTGTCCAAACAGCTGCTGCCTTCGCCGCTCTGCGTCCCAGCTTACCTCCCTGCGCTCTGTTTGTACTCACAGACTGGTGTCAGTGACCTGGCCCTGCTCCCCGGCAAGCTGCTAGTGGGGAGATGGCAGGCGATTGGAGGACAGGGTCTTTAGAAGCAGAGACACTGAGAATTTGGGGCCCAGAGCGAGGGTCAGGAGAAGGTTCCTGGTCCCTGAAGGGCAGTACAAGCTAGCTCTGCAGAGGGAGTGGCCTGGGGAGGGCGGTGGGCCTGGGTCATTAACTAATCTGGAAGGCGAGGGAGCCGGAGGAAGGGTTTTAAACCAGTTGATCAGACTTGCACTTGAGAAAGTTAATCCGGCTGCTGGGTAGGAGACGGGTTGAAGGGGACAGGAGGACAATTAGCGAGGCTATGGGTGGTGGCCTGGGCAAGAGATAGTGGTGGTCTGCGGCGAGGTGGCGGCGGCAGGGGGGATGAGATGGGATCCTGTGTCCCTAGGTGTCTAGGGTAGTTGGGTACTGGCTTCAGGATGCAAATGATGAGGTGTTCCACACAGGCTCTCTGGTGCTTCTAGAACGTGGCTTCCTGTGCAGTTCCCTGCTCCAGGCTCCTCCCTCCCAGTACTCTGGGGCTCCTGGGTCCCTGCCCAGTTCCTGAAGCGTTCAGCCTGGGGTGAGCCCTCTTTCTTGCTCACCCTCCTGCAACCGGCCAGACAGGTGTCTATCTCCCTCCTGGCTCCTCCGAACAGGGGGCACCAGAGGGTAGTTTGAGGAGCTCCCGGGTGCCCCTTGGCTGGGAGGAGGCGCCAGGAGAGATTACAGCCCTCTTTATCCCGCCATCTACCACCAGTTAACCACTGTGTGTGTCCTCCCAGGAGCAGAGCGAAAGCCGGGCCCGGCAAGGCCCTCGTGGGCCCAGCGCCTTCATCCCAGTGGAGGAGGTAAGCTTGAAAGGGGTTGGAAATCCTTGGGCAGAAAAGGCTGGACATTGGTGGGCCAGGGTCCTCTGCCCCTTAAATTAGAGCTTTGAAACTACCCCCTTCCAATTCCTGATTCACTGAGCTCATAAAACAGCTCTGTGAGACATGCATTAGCAATCCCATTTTACTGGGAAGGAACAGACTCAAAGAGATAAAGTGATAGTAACACGGCCACACTTCTCATCCCCAGAGCAGTGCCTGTTTCTCCTTAGTAAGTCAGAACTACCCAGGTGGGCGTTCTGGTGCAGCAAGTTAAGCCACCACTTGGGATACCCACATCCCATATTAGAGTGCTGGTTAGAGTCCTGCTTCCTCCCCTCTGGTCCAGCTTCTTGCTAATGATGATGGCACAAGTACTTGTGCCCTTGCTACCCTTGTGGCAAACCTGGATGGAGTTCCAGCCTCATGGCTTCAGCCTGGCCTGGTCTTAGCTGTTGCAAGCATTTGGAGAGTGAACCAACAGATGGAAAATTTCTATCTCTGTGTCATTCTGCCTTTCAAGTGGATGCAAATGAAAAATAAATTTAACAAAAAGAGAGAAAGGAAGAAACATTTTCTTAAAAAGAAAAAAATTGAACTCCCAGGGGCAGTATTGTGGTGTAGTAGGCAAAGCCATTGCCTGTTTCGCCAGCATCCCACATGGCACTGGTTTATGTCCTGGCTGCTCCACTTCCTAATCAGCTCCCTGCTGATACCCCAGGAAAAACAGTAGAAGATGGCTCAAGTGCTTGGGCCCCTGTGACCCACATGGGAGACCCAGATGAAGCTCCTGACTCCTGGCTTCGGCCTGGCTCAGTCCTGGCTGTTGTAGCCACTTGAGGATTGCACAGGCAAATGGAAGCCCTCTCTTTCTTCTGTCTTTCTCTGTAACTTTGACTTTCAAATACATAGATAAATCTTTAAAAAAAATAAAAAATAGAACTACCTATGTGTATCTTTTCACTCCCCGCCCCCCTCTTTTTTAAAGATTTATTTATTAACTGGAGAGTCAGAGCTGCACAGAGAGAGTCAGAGAGAGGTCTTCCATCCACTGGTTTATTCCACAGATGACCACAACGGTCAGAGCTGAGCTGATCCGGAACCAGGAGCCAGGAGCTTCTTCCAAGTCTCCCATGCGAGTGCAGGGGCCCAAGGACTTGGGCCGTTTTCTGCTGCTTTCCCAGGCCATAGCAGAGAGCTGGATCTGAAGTGGAGCAGCTGGAATTCGAACCAGCGCCTATGTGGGATGCCGGTACTGCAGGCCGCGGCTTTACCCACTGTGCCACAGCTCTGGCCCCGGGCTCCTATCTTTTCATCCTTGACTGTGCATATATTACAGTCCTTTTTTTCTGCTTTGAAAGCAATGTAAACATTTCAAGCGTTTCAGAAAGCTTTGATCTCTTAGCCTTTTGCCACTTTTTTTTTTTTTAAAGATTTATTTATTTATTTATTTATTTGAAAGGCAGAGTTACAGAGAGGCAGAGGCAGAGAGAGAGTCTTCCATCCACTGGTTCACTCCCCAAATGGCCACAATGGGCAGAGCTGGGTCGATGTGAAGCCAGGAGCTTCTTCTGGGTCTCCCATGCAGGTGCAGGGGCCCGCGCACTTAGGCCATCCTCTACTGCTTTCCCAGGCCACGGCAGAGAGCTGGGTCAGAAGTGGAGCAGCCAGGACCCGAACTGGTACCCCTGTGTGATGCTAGCACTGCAGGCAGTGGCTTTACCCACCACACCACAGAGCCGGCCCCTTGCCACTTGCTTTCATGTAGATGTTTATTTTCAGTAGGGACTCCAGGACATAGTTTACAGCTTGCTTTTCTGTTTGTTTTCTGGTTTGCCCTGAGCAACTCATCAGAGCCACCCCTCCTCTCTGAGTCAGTCCACCCATGGTTGTGCGTGTCTGTTGAAGGATGAACCTGTGTCAGGCAGTGTTCTAGGTGGGGGTGGGGTGGGGTGTGGAGCAGTAAACAAGACACAAATCTCTCTGCCGTTGTGGAGCTCGTTTGTGTGCCCTGTCCTCTTTGCTCTCCTGACTGTAGGCCAGGTGGTTGACGAGCTGTTACTGGTGGTCTCTGCCCATTGCCCCCTCTCTGTGGGTGTAAACTCAGCAACCCCTGCTGATTATTTATGTCTACAGCCCAGAGTTTTATTTTATTATTTTTTATGTTTTTTTTTTCAAGATTTATTTATTATTTATTTGAAAGGCAGAGTTACAGAGAGGCAAAGGCAGAGAGAGAAAGAGAGAGTTTCTACCCACTGGTTCACTCCCCTCCGGCCGGAACTGGGCCAATCCGAAGCCAGGAGTCAGGAACTTCTTCCAGGTCTCGCACATGGGTGCAGGGGCCCAAAGATTTGGCCATCTTCTGCTGCTTTCCCAGGCCATTGCAGAGAGCCAGATCAGAAGTGGAACACGGCCAGCGCCGCGGCTCACTAGGCTAATCCTCTGCTTTGCGGCGCCGGCACACCAGGTTCTAGTCCCGGTCGGGGTGCTGGATTCTGTCCAGGTTGCCCCTCTTCCAGGCCAGCTCTCTGCTGTGGCCTGGGAGTGCAATGGAGGATGGCCCAGGTGCTTGGGCCCTGCACCCCATGGGAGACCAGGAGAAGCACCTGGCTCCTGGCTTTGGATCAGCTTGATGCGCCGGCTGCAGCGTGCCGGCAGCGGCGGCCATTGGAGGGTGAACCAACGGCAAAGGAAGACCTTTCTCTCTGTCTCTCACTCTCACTGTCCACTCTGCCTGTCAAAAAAAAAAAAAAAAAAAAAAAAAAGTGGAGCAGCCGGGACTCAAACCGGTGCCCATATGGGATGCCGGCACTGCAGGTAGCGGCTTTATCCGCTAAGCCACAGTGCCGGCCCCTAAAGTTTTATTTTATTTATCTGAAAGGCAGAGTGACAGAAGGAGAGACAAGAGAGATGGAGATCTTCCATCTGCTGGTTCACTCTCCAAAGGGCCGCATGGCAAGGGCTGGGCCAGGCTGGGCCAGGAGCCAGGAGCTCCATCTGGGTCTCCCACATGGGTGACAGGGGCCAGGCATGTGGGCCACCCATTTCTTTCCCAGGCACATTAGGGAGCTGGATTGGAAGTGGAGCAGCCCCTACTCAAACTAGTGTTGTAATATGGGCTGCCAGTGTCACAGGCAGTGGCTTAACACACTGTGTCACAGCACTGGCCCCCTGCCCAGGGTTTTAAGCTCCAGTATTGTTTTTGTGTTTTATATTCTAATTTATAACTAACCACTCTACTTTATAATAAAGGAAAGAGATGGGATTTAGAAATCATCTGGATTTGAATCCTGTTTCTGTCATTTATGCGAACTACGGCCTACAGAAGAGGGTGAAACCTGTCTGGTTTCCTCTCTGTTAGGGAGAAATAATGGTATTTACCTCAAAGCATTATTGAAAAGATTCAATGAGGGATGGCTAAGAGGTCTGCATCCCACATTGGAGTACCTGGGTTCCAGTCCCAGCTCCAACTTTCTGCTAACGCAGACCCTGACAGGCAATGGTGATGGCTCAAGTAATTGGGTTCCTGCCACCCACATTGGAGATGTAGATTGCATTTCCTTCTGGCCCAGCTCCAGCTATTTGCAGGCACTGGGGAGTGAGCCAGCAGAGAGGAGCTCTCTCTCTTTGTCCAGCTCTCTCTCTGTCACTCTGCCTCTCAAATAAATAAATAAATAAATATTTTACAAAAATAAAATCATTGACCCCGGGGCCTTTGTTGTGGAGTAGAGGTGAAGCCGCCACCTGTGCCACTGACATCCCATGTGGGCGCCGGTTCATGTCCTGCCTGCTCCACTTCCAATCCAGCTCCCTGCAAATGCACCTGGGAAACCAGTGGAAGATGGCCCAACTGCCTGGGCCCCTGCACCCATGCAGGAAACCTGGAGGAAGCTCCTGGCTCCTGGCCTCGGTCTGGCCTAGCCCTAGCCATTGAGGCCATCTGGGGAATGAACCAGCAGATGGAAGATCTCTCAAGATCTCTCTTTCTCTCTTTCTGTAACTCTGTCTTTCAAATATTTTTTTTTTTAAACTAACCCCTTTCAAAAAAAATTCAATGAGATCATACAGGTAAACTTTTAAATCAGACCTGACGTGGACAAAACAGATAATGTGACCTGTTTTGCACCCACTGCCGTGGTTATGTGCATTTGCGTGTTAGAACAGAATCTCCTTGAAGGTAGAAGAAACTGTATTCTTTTCTTTTTTTTTTTTTTTAAAGATTTATTTTCATTTGTTTGAAAGACAGAATGACAGAGAGAAATAAAAAAAAAAAATAAGTCTTCCATCCACTGATTCACTCCCCAAATGGCCACAATGGCCTAGGCTGCGCCAGGCCAAAGCCGGAACCTGGAACTTCATCTGGGTCTCCCACATGGACGGCAGAGCTCCAAACACGTGGGCCGTCTTCCGCTGCTTTCCCGGGAGCATCGGCAGGGAGCTGGATCGGAAGCATGGCTGACCTGGAACATACGGCGTTATAGGCCACAGCCTAACCCCTGCTCCACAACACTGACCTCAGAGAAACTATACTCTTTTTTTTTTTTGACAGGTAGAGTTATAGACAGTGAGAGAGAGACAGAGAGAAAGGTCTTCCTTCCGTTGGTTCACTCCCCTAATGGCTGCTACAGCTGGCGCTGCGCCAGTCCGAAGCCGGGAGCCGGGTACTTCCTCCCGGTCTCCCACGTGGGTGCAGGGACCCAAGCACTTGGGCCATCCTCCGCTGCCCTCCCGGGCCACAGCAGAGAGCTGGACTGGAAGAGGGGCAACTGGGACTAGTACCCGGCGCCCCAACCGGGACTAGAACCTGGGGAGCCAGCGCTGCAGGCAGAGGATTAGCCAAGTGAGCCACGGCTCCGGCCAAGAAACTGTACTCTTAATCTCTGTTTCAGTTTTCCTATCTAAAAATGGAGAAAGTAGAACTCCAATTTCATACTTATAATGATTAAATGAAAAAAAAATATATATATATAAAGTGCTTGCACAGTGCATGGCATTTAGTAAGCATTATATAAGTATTGGCTATTTTTTAAAAGATTTATTTATTTATTTGAAAGTCAGAGTTACATAGAGAGAGGAGAGGCAGGGAGAGAGAGAGAGGTCTTCATCCTCTGGTTCACTCCCCAGTTGGCTGCAACGGCTGGAGCTGTGCTGATCCAAAGCCAGGAGCCAGGAGCTTCTTCCTGCTCTCCCAGGGGCCCATCTTCCATTGCTTTCCCAGGACATAGCAGAGAGCTGGATCGGAAGAGGAGCAGCCAGGACTAGAACCGATACCCATATGGGATGCCAGTGCTTTAGGCCAGGGCGTTAACCCGCTGCACCATAGCTTGGGCCCCAAGTATTGGCTATTATCATATATATGAAGTGCCTGATAAGTGTTTATTTACTGAAATGTGTTTCCGCCCCACTCCCCCTCTTTTTGAACAAGGTGGTGGTTTTGAGTTACTTGCTGTAATTCACCCATTGCCCAGTATGTGTTGGTCTCTGTAGCTGGGAACCCATGCTCTCCTCCCCTTGCCTTGGCAGGTGCTTCGGGAGGGAGCTGAGAGCCTGGAGCAGCACCTGGGGCTGGAGGCATTGATGTCTTCAGGGCGGGTGGACAACCTGGCGGTGGTGATGAGTCTGCACCCTGACTACCTTAGCAGCTTTTGGCGCCTTCACTACCTGCTGCTACACACGGACGGGCCCCTGGCAAGCTCCTGGCGCCACTACATTGCCATCATGGTGAGCCGCTCTGGGCCTGATGCTTGTGGGACTGGCCACAGGTGGGGCTCTGGCTGTGGATCTCCTTGTGGGGCCTCCTGAGCTGATTTCCCAGATGAGGAGGAAAGGGGTTTAGAGCCCAGGAAAGCCCTGAGTGGCCATAGAATTGGAGGCTTTGAAGACAGGCATCTTAGATGCCGACTTTCCAGACTGAGAAACTTGGGGTGCAAGGAGGTCAGGTGAGCTCCAAGCTGGTGGCAGATGTGGGGTTAGAATCTAGATTGCCCACCTTTTAAGCAACAGGGTACTGTGCTGGCTTCACCCTGAGCGAGGCCCAGAGGAGGAGGGTGACTCAGGCTCTGTCCGCCCCTGCAGGCTGCCGCCCGCCACCAGTGTTCCTACCTTGTGGGCTCCCACATGACCGAGTTTCTGCAGACTGGCGGTGACCCTGAGTGGCTGCTGGGCCTCCACCGGGCCCCTGAGAAGCTGCGCAAACTCAGCGAGATCAATAAGCTCCTGGCACATCGGCCGTGGCTCATCACCAAGGAGCACATCCAGGTGTGGTGGGCAGAGAGGTGGGGTCCCGAGGGAGCGCAGGGGCCTGGCCGTGGCCTGGCTGGAGCCTGGCCAGCAGCCCCATGGCAGGCACTGAGCAGGCCCGGCCTTCTCTCCCCTGCAGGCCTTGCTGAAGACGGGCGAGCACAGCTGGTCCCTGGCTGAACTCATCCAGGCCCTGGTCCTGCTCACCCACTGCCACTCGCTGGCCTCCTTCGTCTTTGGCTGTGGCATCCTCCCTGAGGGAGACCCAGACGGCAGCCCTGGCCCCCAGGCCCCTTCACCGCTCAGTGAGCAAAGCAGCCCCCCAAGTGGGGACGCACTGAACAACTCTGGGGTAAGTTGCTAGGCCTGGGTCTGGGTGGAGGCGGGGGTGGGGCTGGCATGGCCTCTGGTCCTTGGGCGGGAGCCACTGCTTTCCTGAGAGGACCTAGGGAACTAATATTGCTTTTTTCTATTTTTCTTTTTTAACATATTTATTTATTTAATTTTGAAAGTCAGAGTTACAGAGAGAGAGAGAGAGAGAGAGAGAGAGATCTTCCAACTGCTGATTCACTCCCCAAATGGCTGCAATGGCTAGGCCAGAGGCCAAAGCCAGGAGCTTCATCTGGGTCTTTCCATATGAGTGGCGGGGGTCCAATACCTGAGCCCCCCGCTGCTGTTTTCCAGGTCATCAGCAGGGAACTGGATCAGAAGTGTAATGGCAGAGACACTAACCGGCTATTATGGGGTGCCGGCATGACAAGTGGTGGCTTCACCTGCTACATCACAATGCTGGTCCCATAATTTTGCTTTGCAACTCAGTTTTCTCATCTGGGAAATGGGGATGAAAATCCTCTACTGACACCAGACTGTGAAGGTTTAATGAAGTACCACGTGACTGGCCTTTCAGCCTGTAGCTCCATGAGGTCAAAGTCTGCTGCCTCTTAGTGCTTCAAAAAGACAAAGCCAAGCTTGCCTCTTACTCCCTAATGTGGCCATGTTTGTTTTAATATAAAAATACAGGTACTTTCAAATCTACCTCTTGGGGGGGCAGCATCCTGGCATAGCCTGCAGCACCAGCATCCCATATGGGCATCAGTTGCTGTCCCCGCTGCTCTGCTTCCAATCCAGTTCCCTGCTAATGTGCCTGGGAAAAGCTGTGGAAGGTGGCCTGAGTGCCCAGGCCCCCACTACCCGCGTGGGAGAGCCGAATGAAGATCCCGATTCCGGGCTGTGGCCTGGCCCAGCCTTGGCCGTTGTGGCCATCTAGGGAGTGAACAAGCAGACGGAAACTCTCTCTCTGCATGTGTGTGTCTCCTTCTCTCTCTGTAAGTCTGACTTTCAAAATAAATAAATAAATACATCTTTAGAAATAAATAAAAAATAAGATGCAGTTTACCTCTGGGGGAGCTGAAGTGTGGGAAAGGCGCGCGCCTGCTCTGTGACTTTGCACACTTCCCTCTGGGCAGCACAGACCACAGGGGAGACCTCGGTGGCTGGCACAGAGGGTGCCCTTGGCCTTTGTGATGCCTCGGGAGGCGTGGGTGTGGGAAGGACGTGGGGGACCTTTCCAGAGTGGATGGTCACCACCGGGTCTCTCCTGCAGGGCCTGGAGGCCGCGCGCGACGTGGAGGCGCTGATGGAGCGCATGCGGCGGCTGCAGGACAGCCTGCTGCGGGACGAGGGCACGTCCCCGGAGGAAATGGAGAGCCGCTTCGAGCTGGAGAAGTCAGAGAGCCTGCTGGTGGCCCCGGCAGGTACGAGCACAGGGCCCGCCCCCTTCGCACGCGTCTCTGGGAGGCTGGGTGCTGCACCTCCTGCATTCCAGAGGCAGCCACCTCTCCACTCCCTCCAAAAGGTTCCGGCCACAGCTTTTGGGCTCAGACCTGGCTGTGGTCCTGGCCTGTTTGCCCCCTGGCTGACTGGATCGGCCACTTTTGGCCCCAAGGCTTCAGGAACGATGTGTAGGGTAGATGGAACAACAGAAGCAAAGCGCTTAACACAGAGCCTGGCCCCGGGTCAGCCGCTCCACCAATAACTGCCATCTCCCGGTGTTACCCCGGGCTGAGCCCCCTGGGACTGTGGGCCCCCTTGTCCTCCTGCCCCAGGCCCGGCTTCAGCCCCGGTCTGGCTGCCACCCACTGTAGCTGGGGCTTCCCCTGGCCCTGTCCTCTGCCCTCCCCTGCTCCGTCAGGAGTGTACCCCAGTGTGCTCCACGCCTTGGCCTTCCTGTGACCTCTTTCTAACCCGGTCCTCAGCTGACATCCTGGAGCCCTCTCCACACCCAGACACGCTGTGCTTTGTGGAAGACCCCACTTTCGGGTACGAGGACTTCACCCGGCGTGGGGCCCAGGCGCCCCCCACCTTCCGCGCCCAGGTAGGGCTCCCTCCACTCCTCTCAGCCGTTGCTCTAGACTTAGTGGCAAACAGGTGGCCGATGGTTGAAGCAGTTACAGTGCTGGTTAACTTCTCTCCCTCGAGACCCCACAAGGTCAGCAGGGGTCCTGTGGGTTCCGCAGCTCAGCGTCCCTGATCCCAAGGAAAAGGTCATTGCCAAGTTGCAGCCACTTTGACTTCCGGCCCAGAGTGGGCGGTGTTCGATTTGCGGAGGAGGGAGGGGCCAGAGGCCGATCTCTCGGGCTCTCTCCCTGACCCCACCCCACGTTCCTCAGGATTACACCTGGGAGGACCACGGCTACTCGCTGATCCAGCGCCTGTACCCCGAGGGTGGGCAGCTGCTGGACGAGAAGTTCCAGGTGGCCTGTAGCCTCACCTACAACACCATCGCCATGCACAGCGGCGTGGACACCTCCGTGCTCCGCAGGGCCATCTGGAACTACATCCACTGCGTCTTTGGCATCAGGTAGGCACTCAGCAGGTGAGCGCCCTCAGCGGGGCACGAAGGCTCGGCGGGCACAGCCTGAGCACTCAGCTGCTTCATGCTTCTCTTCTTTTCTTCTTGCCAGTCCTGTTTTTCAAAGTGAATCTGTTTCTTTGCTGACTTTAAAATACAATAGAGGTGTTCACTGAACCTTGTAACTGAACCTATTTAATCCTAGCCCCAGAGATAACGATGCTTTTACATATAGGTAGTTGCATGTACACTCATATATGTATTTGTGTGTGCATGCTGCATACATATACACATACACGTGTGTATAGAACCATGTATACATGTGTGCACATGTATTATATGCAGCTGTGTTGGAACAGTCATGTGCCACACAATGACCTTTCTGTCAACAAAAGACTACGTATACAACACTAAGACTGCTAACACCTAGGGGCCAGCATTCTGGCACAGCGGGATAAGCTGCCACCTGTGATACCAGCAACCCATATAGGTGAGGGTTCCAGTCCCAGCTGCTCTGTGTCCCATCCAGCTCCCTGCTAATGCTCCTGGGAAGGCAGTGAGGATGGCCCAAGTCCTTTGGCCTCTGCATCCACATGGGAGACCCAGATGAAATTCCTGATTCTGGCCTGAATCAGCAGATGGACAATCTCCCTCTCTCTCTGTCTCTCCCTTTGTCTCTGTAACACTGCCATTCAAATAAATGAAAAAATAAATCTTAAAAAAAAAAAAGATTGTAACACCTAGAGACGTCACAGCCATTTGAGTTTGTGTAAGGACACTCTGTGATATTTGCACAATGATGACGTTGCCTCACAACACATTGCTCTGAACAGAGCCTGTCTTACAGTGACGTATAACTCTTCCCATTCTGAGTAGCAGTTCTTCTGTCATAATAAGTGAGGATAACATGAATGCCCATCAGTATGGGATTTTAAATTATATATATATATAATTTATGAATATATAATGGACATATATATATCCATTCAGTGAAATATAATGCAGCTGTCAAAAATGACAGTAGAAGTCTGTTTAGATGGCCGTGGGGAAATATACAAAATGTATTGAGAGAAAAGAAAGCTGGTGACCAACCAGAATATTTTGTTCCTTTTTTTTTTTTTTTTTTTCAGATTTTTTTTTTTTTAATCTGGAAGACAGAATTTGAGAGAGAGAGAGAGACATCTTCCATCTGCTGGTTCACCCCCCAAATGGTCGCAATGGCCAGGGCTGGGCCAAAACAAAGCGAGGAGCCAGGAGCTCTTCCAGGTCTCCCACGTGGGTGCAGGGGCCCCAGCACTTGAGTCACCATCTGCTTTCCCAGGATCATTAGCAGGGAGCTAGATCAGAAGTGGAGCAGCGCAGACTTGAACAGGCGCCTTTATGGGATGCCGACGTTGTAGGTGGCGGCTTTACATGCTGCGCTAGTCTTGTTTCTTTTACCAGATGCTTGTGTGTGCGTGGATAATGCACACTAGAATGATAACATTGGTTGGTTTCTGCACAGTGTATGTGATGAAATTACATTTTGTCTTGTTTGTTAAATCTCTTTTGTTTTTTAAACTTGATATATTCACATTCAACATATTCTACAATTTACATTACCTAGTGTGAACCGTGTTTCTAATCAGTAGGAATAGTTTTTTTATTCTTTTTTAACTTTGGCATGGTATTCTTAGTGTTTTGCTATGACAAATACTACATGTGCTGACTACTCTTATCATACATAAGTTCTTTTAGATAAATCTTAGATATGAATTATTTGAAAAGGATATATATATATAGAAGACTTACTTTGAAAAACACTCTGATAACTTGGTGGTCAATTTAAAGAATTAAGGGGGAAAAATTTCCCCAGAGTCAGCATTGTGGCACAGTGGGTTAAGCTGCTGCCTGTGATGCTAGCATCCCATATGAGTGCTGGTTCGAGTCTCAGCTGCTCTACTTCTGATCCAGCTCCCTGCTAATGTGCCTGGGAAAGTGGCAGAGGATGGCCCAAGTGCTTGGACCCCTATACCCACTTGGGAGACCCAGATGGAGTTCTAGGCTCCTGACTTTAGTTTGGCCCAGCCCTGGCCATTACAGCAATTTGGGGATCTTATTCATGGAAGATCTCTCTCTCTCTCTCTCTCTCTCTCTCCACCACTCTTTTTCTCTTCTCACTGTCTCTCTCTCCCTCTCTTTAAGTTTGCCTTTCAAGTGAATAAGTAAATGTTTAAAAAAGTTTTCTTTTCTGCCAAATTCTGTCCTAGTACAGTCCTATCTGCATCCTGTAATGTTTTACTCATTTTCTTTTTCTTATGTAGTCATTTTTGTGTAGTTGAAGTTATAATAGTTATTTCAGGGCCAGCGCCATGGCTCACTTGGTTAATCCTCTGCCTGCGAGGATTAACCCATATGGGCGCCAGGTTAATCCCATATGGGTGCCGGGTTCTAGTCCCGGTTGCTCCTCTTGCAGTCCAGCTTTCTGCTGTGGCCCGGGAAGACAGTGGAGGATGGCCCAAGTGCTTGGGTCCCCGCACCCGCATGGGAGACCAGGAGGAAGCACCTGGCTCCTGCCTTCGGATCGGCGTAGCTCTGGCCGTAGCGGCTGTTTGGGGAGTGAACCAATGGAAAAGAAAGACCTTTCTCTCTGTCTCTCTCTCTCTCACTGTCTGTAAATTCTACCTGTCAAATAAATAATAAAAAAAAGTTATTTCATAAAAAAAACTTATTTGATGTTTGTAAAGAGAAACTCCTGATGTTTAGAAGTGTTAGAAAATACAGATAACAAAAGGAAGAAAATAAAAAGCATCTTTGGCCCCCTCTGCTCCTGTGACCAGATATCTGCTTGCTGCCCTCTTTGCTCCGTGCAGGTAACCCGAGCACAAATCGTTTTACACAAACACAATCAGTGGCCATTTTCTTACCTATTCGTTTTACTTAACGTACTCATTTACTCAAACATAAGCATATTTTAGTGGACACATGATTTTTTTTCTTTTTTATTTAACAATTTATACTAAGCATCAAAAATTATCCCTACTTTTTTTTTTTTTTTTTTTTTTGACAGGCAGAGTGGACAGTGAAAGAGAGACAGAGAGAAAGGTCTTCCTTTTGCCATTGGTTCACCCTCCAATGGCCGCCGCGGCTGGCACGCTGCGGCCGGTGCACCGTGCCTATCCGAAGGCAGGAGCCAGGTGCTTCTCCTGGTCTCCCATGGGGTGCAGGACCCAAGCACTTGGGCCATCCTCCACTGCACTCCCGGGCCACAGCAGAGAGCTGGCCTGGAAGAGGGGCAACCGGGACAGAATCCGGCACCCCGACCGGGACTAGAACCCGGTGTGCCAGCACTGCTAGGCAGAGGATTAGCCTAGTGAGCCGCGGCGCCAGCCTATCCCTACATTTTTTAAAAACATACATGTCCCTTGTAGAAAACTTGTGCTTCTGTGCATTCCTAGGCACAAATTCCATCTGCCAGGTGATTTGAGCCAAACTGAGCCATCCTCTTGCTGGCTATTGGCAGGTTTCCCTTCCAGGGGTGGCCAGGGATGGGTATATTGGAAAGTGGCACAAGCCAGCCCCGTCCAGTCTTTATTTATATTTTTAATATTTATTGTTTATTTGAAAGGCAGAATGAGAGAGAGAGAGAGAGAGAGAGAAAATCTTTCACCTGCTGGTTCACTCCCCAAATGGCCACTACAGTCTGGGCTGGATGAGGCAGCCAGACCCGAGCTGGCACATCTGATGTGGGATGCTGGTGGTGTCACAGGCGCCGGTGTTGCAGGCAGTGGCTTAACCCACTGAGCCACAGCACTGGCTCCCTGGTCCAGTCTTCGGCTCGAGGCTCCCCTACTCTGCAGCATGGTCCTGGCTCTCATTCCTTTTCTACTCAATCTGTCCTCCAGTTTTCAACCAATCTTCCCACCCACACTGATCTGCGCTGACAGTAGCTGCCCAGCTCACTGGCCTGCGGAGTGGCAAGGTGGCTTCAGACCTGACTTCCTTCTTGACTTTGAGCAAGTTCATTGTCTTCCCAGGCCTTGGCTTCCCATATACAAGACGAGTACCAGCTCCTTTTCTTGCCCTCACCCTCTCACTTCTCCTGGGTAGATAGGTAGATAGGACCTCCTCCCTACCATCCATGGCCTTAACTTTGGAGTACTGACTATGGCCTGGGAGCCATGCAGAGCTGGATCTGAAAACCATTCCCAGCAATATGACTTAGGCACGTGTCTTCCCTTCTCTGAATCTCAGCTGCCTCAACTATACAATAGGGTTGATGACTTCAGTGTGCTGTGTGTGAGCGCTGGAAGGAGCCAGGCTTCTTCTTCTTTCCCACCTTCCAACTTTTCCTCACCACCCTGTCGCCTTCCTCTACAGTGTGGGGGTCGGGGACCGGAGCTATTGCTGGGGGCAGAGGGTGAGGAGTGCTCTGGGACCTCTCCATCCAGGTATGATGACTACGATTACGGGGAGGTGAACCAGCTCCTGGAGCGGAACCTCAAGGTCTACATCAAGACGGTGGCCTGTTACCCAGAGAAGACCACCCGCCGAATGTACAACCTCTTCTGGAGACACTTCCGCCACTCAGAGAAGGTACAGCCTGTGGAGGGGGCAAGGGGTCTGGACCCAAGAAGGGACCCCAGACCAAGTTTGTCCCGCCAGGTGGGACACCTGGGCCTGCCCTCCTGAGTTGGCGTCTTATTTCACTGTGTGGATTCAGACTCCATATAATCACCTGTCAAGTAGCAATATGGGTGCCTGTCTCACACGGTGTCCTCAGGGGTCCAGATTGTAACCCTGTGACTTGGTAGCAGTCACTGGGCCTCCCTGAGGGCTGTGTCCACCTGGGAATGATGCAGCTGCTTGCGTTTCAAGGTTCTTGGGAGGATGAGCGGAGGAAATGTGTGTCAGCCGATCCTGAGCAGGTGCTCAGTGAGTGGTAGCTCTGGGTTCTAGGCTTGGGGGCTAAGGAGACGAGTCACAGTAGGGATGCACGCCCTTGGAACAGCTGTCATTGCTCATTGTGCCAAACCATTCAGAGCACAGCAAGGGTCGGTGTGCCTCTGCAGGAAAGAGAAGGGCGAGGTGGTCGGTCAGGGAGGGTGGCCATCTGGGAGGGCCGGAGATCCATTGCCAACAGCCCTACTCTGCCCCAGGTCCACGTGAACCTGCTGCTCCTGGAGGCCCGCATGCAGGCCGCCCTGCTCTATGCCCTCCGCGCCATCACCCGCTACATGACCTGACTGCCTCCTGCGTGGGACCTGCACATGGAGCAGCTGACTTGGGGGCCACCCTCCTCCCTGCCAGGACTTCTGTGTCTGGAGACAGCGCCAGAGCCCATCTCCCCACATCGGGCTTGGCTTGTGTGTGATGTGCAGCCCCTGAGCCACACCCTCCTTATCCTCACTGGAATGGATAGCATCTTTGCTCTGACTCCGGGGATCTCAGCTCTGCCTCTGGGAGCTGGAAGGGGACTAGGGGACCCCAAGGGGCTATGCCCTTCCTCCTTTCCCTACTCCTAGAGGAAGGAAAATGGGTCCAGCTGAAACCTGTGGGCCAGTAGGCTGTGTCCCAGACTCCCCAGGTGCTGGGACTTCCTGGACTGAGAGCTCCCTGGCCGGCCCCCATGGGAGAGGGGCAGACACCTCCAGGGACTGACACTCCAGGCAGCTTTGCCTTCCCATCCTCCTCATTCCAGAGTTCATTACCTCCTACCTGCTCTTCACCCATCAATGTGAAAGGTCACAGCTGGCCTGTGTCCGGTTCCCCCAAATCTTGTTCTGTTGGGCAGCCCGAGGGTGCCTTGCTCCCTGGTTGCCTGGTCCTGGTTGAATTATTTAGACCTCCTTCACTCTAACCTTTTCTCCCATACCTGGCGGTGGGAAGCCCCAGGAGAGAGGCCAAGCACATCAACAAGGCCGGTCATCTCTGCTCGTCCCGGTGCCTTCTAGAGGGGGCGAGGATTAGGTTAGAAATTCTGTTTTCTTGGGTCCTCTATGGTTGACATTCTCACCCCTGTAGGGCCTCCCCCACTGGCACCACGGTCAGCGCCTGAGAGGAGGGGGAGAGAGGTTCTGTTCTCTGAGCTGCACCTGCCTTGCAGAGTCTGCCACCCGCTCCCACCACCAGTGGCTTTGCCAAGAAACTGGGCCTTTCTGGGTGGCTTAAGTGGTACTGTGGCCCAGTATGAGAGGCAGGAGGCTCCTATTTGGGCCCTGTCACTAGCCAGGTGGCCATGGCCACATTGCCAAACCTCTTTGACCACCAGAGTTGCAGACGGACGCGTGAGTCTGGGTCCCCCATGTCTAGTGCTCCCCCTTGGGATGCCTACCTGCCCACACCTAACTGATTTCCTTGCAAGATCCTGAAGGCGTCTGGAGACCCCACTCCTGCAGTCAGTCAGTGTCTCCTAGCTGCCTTCCAAAGACCCTGGCCCCTTCCCAGTGCCCCGTCTGTCCCCTCTCCAGGAGTTTAGGTGGATTGCTTGGAGGCAGAAGCAGCCAGGGACAGACCCCAAGCACTTTCTGTAGCACATGACTGTGAACTTCTCTCGCCCTTCTCCTAGCAGCAGGTGCCTCTTGGACTGGGTGGGGGGTGACCAGGAAAGGCAGGGCCATCATGCTGCTGCTTGGAGCCTGGCCAGTGTGCCACATTGCGTGCCCGTGCTGGCACGGGGACACAACTGGCATCCCCTTCAAGCCTGAAAACCCTCCCTACAAAGAAAGTGGGCAAGAGGGAAGGGGCCCCCTGCAAGGGGGGTTGAATTTCCAGAGGGGATGTCCCCTGGGAGGGTGGAGAGGGGGAGGGCTATCCAGTGTTCAAGTGCAGTCACCTTTGACTTTGCTACCAGTTCCGTTTGATGAGAAATAAAAGTCCGCCAAGGTTTTGTTTTGTACTCCTTGTTAATGGGCTGTTTTTCCATTTCCTGGAGGTCAAGGTTCACCTCCCAGCCTGAGCACGGAGCCGTGATTGCATCACGGACCGGCCCCGACAGCCCCGCCCTGTGGGTACTTGGCCCAGTAGCTTGCCAGGGTTGGGATTGCCGCATTGAAAGTCCACCTCTGCCCCTTGGGGACCCAGCCCTGCCACCCGTCCAGGGCTGTGTAGCAACAGTGGACATGTTATTTTTCTGACCAAGCTTGCCCTGGGCTTGGTGCTTGGAGGCCATTTTTTCTGATTCCACAGCAATCCTGTGAGAGAACTGAGATGCAGAGGTGAGGCGACCTAGGCAGTTCCATCCTGACTGAGAACTTGGCCTTTCCCTTGGCTCCTTTTCTCTGCTTCTGGACTCGCGGCACCATCGCGGGAGGCATCTGAGAATCCGAGGGGAACTCCTGTGTCTCCTGTCCCACCATGTTGAGATTGCCTGCCTCTCGGCCTTCCCTCCTTGGCACTGAGGACACAGAGCAGTCCCCACATTGTGCTAATGCCATTTATGGCTGTGTGACTGAGCAAACTTCTTCACTTCTCTGGGCACCAGGAACTCATGAGCTGACCAGGAAAACTGAACCATGACCAAGAGCTAAGACTCCTATAGGCTGCCCACTTCCTCTAAGTGGGGCCAGTGGCCAAGCATTGAAGATGGGCTTCCTGCGGTGTGCCTCCTGGATGGAGCCATGTGCCCTGCTCTCTGGGGCCCTGCTTTGTTTTGGTCGTTGTTTGGGACACACACTCTTCAATCAAGAGTCACTTGGGAGGATGGGCAAGAAAGCCAATCAGACTTGAGTACACAGCTTAGATTCTATGTTTTTTTTTTTTTTTAAGATTATTTATTTGAAAGGCAGTGTTACAGAGAGGCAGAGGTAGAGAGAGAGAGGTCTTCCATCCATTTGTTCACTCCCCAGATGGCCACAACAGCTATGGCCATCCGAAGCCAGGAGCCAGGAGCCTCCTCCAGGTCTCCCATGCGGGTGCAGGGGCCCAAGGACTTGGGCCATCTTCCACTGCTTTCCCAGGCCATAGCAGAGAACTGGATCGGAAGTGGAGCAGCCAGGACTCAAACTGGTGCCCAAATGGGATGCCGGTGCTGCAGACCAGGGCTTTATCCCGCAGCGCCACAGCGCCCCACTGCGCCACAGCACTGGCCCCGGATTATATTTCCGGCTTAGCTGCTTCTTATCCCTGGAAGGGTTGGTTAATTTCACTGTGTTTCCAGTTTCCTTGGCAGTAAACAGAAGGGTAAAATGTTCCCATGTCTTTTCCAGGTGGTATTTCTTGAGTATGACAGTTGCAGGTGTTTTCTAATTTAATCTCCCAGTCCTCACAACAGCCTGTGACAAAGGGGTGGTGCTCCCATTTTACAGACGTGGAAATGGAGCTGCAATCTTTTTAAAGATTTATATATTTATTTGAAAGGCAGAGTGAGAGACACAGAGAGAGACTGAGAGAGAGGATTTTCCATGCACTGATTTATTCCCAAAATAACCATGATAGCCAGGACCAGGCCAAACCCAGGAGCCAGAAGCTTCTTCCAGGTCTCCCATGTGAGTGCAGGGGCCCAAGCACTTAGACCATCTTCTGCTGCCTTCCCAGGCCGTTAGCAGGGAGCTGGATCAGAAGCAGAGCAGCCAGGACTTAAACCAGCACTCACATGGAATGCCAGCGCTGTTGGCTTTACCTGCTACTCCAGTGCCAGCCCCTCAAGTGAGAATTTAAGAGAATACCAATTTAGCAGTTAGACCCTGATGCAACTTCCACTCTTGACATTTAATGTTTATTTAGTCAGTTATCTATTTGAAAGGCAGAGAGAAAGAGAGAGGGAGATGGAAAGAGACATACAAAACTTCTGCTGATTCACTCCTCAAATGTATACAGTAGCCAGGGCTGGGTTAGACTGATGTCAGGGGTCTGGAAGACCAGTCTGTGTTTCCCACGTAGGTGGCAGGGGCCCAACTATTAGGACCATCATCTGCTGCATCCAGGGTGGGTGTTAGCAGGAGGCTGGAGTCAGGAGCAGAGCTGGGACTTGAACTCAAAAACTCTGATATGGGATGAGAGCGTACCAATAGGTGTCTTTACCACTGAATGACCACCCCCAGTTTTGACATTCAATGTCTGGCTAATGCCCCTGGGACAGCAGCAGCAGATGACCCAAGTGCTTGTGCCTCTGCACCCATGAGGGAGACCTGCAGGAAGCTCCTGGCTCCTGGCTTTGGCCTGGCCCAGTCCTGGCCATTGCGGCCATTTGGGGAATGAACCATCAGTTGGAAGATCTCTCCTCTGTCTCTCTCTCTTTATTTGAAAGGCAGAGAGACAGAGAGAGAAGAGAGATCTTCCATTTGCTGGTTTACTCCCCAAAAGACTGCAACAGCTGGGGCAGGGCCAAGTCAAAGCCAGGGTCTCCCATGTGGGTGCAGGGGCCCAAGCAGTTGGGCCATCTTCTGCTGCTTTCCCAGGGGCATTAGCTGAGAGCTGGATCAGAAGTGGAGTTGCTGGGATAGCAAACCACACCCACATGAGATGTCGGCTTTGCATGTGGTGGCTTAACCCGCGACACCATGATGCAGGTCCCCACTTTACAATCTTGTGTGCCTTAGAATCTCCTGGAGGACCTATGGTTGGAGGCAGAGTTTGGGAATTTGCCTCTTGTACAGCTTCCCTGCTGTTGTTCTATTCAACAGCTGTTGTGCACCTGATACGTAACCCGGCCAGAATAGAAAGCAATGAAGCAGACAGGCAGGGTTCCTGCTCTCTTGGGAGTGACTAGCAAGTGGGAGAGGCAGATATTTGATCACCACACAGCTTAAGTATCCCGATTATAATCGTGTTCAGCGCCTCGAAGGAGAAACAGGAGGTGCTATGCGGGCATACACCGCCTAACAGTGGAGTCTTTTCTTCCAAGGAGATGTGCTGAGCCTTTGCAGAAGCTACAACACAGCCAGGAAGAATGTTTTCCAACTCACGGAAACACCTTGGATCCTGCGGGCTCTGTGGAACACATTGAGAAAGCTGCTCTCCCACAGTCCTCTGTAGCGGTCAGTAGGGTGTGGCACCCTCCTGGCACTCAGTCCTTCCCCACCCCAACCCCTCTGGGAGCACTGGTTGCTGAAGGGTTTGGCTGAATCCCTTTCTGGAATCTGCCCTGGGTTGAAGGGAGCAACTTAGCTCGTGGTTACGCCCCCTCCAGGCAGTCTGCCTCCCATACCTGGTTGATGGGAGACAATGTGCAAAGGCCTGGCCTCTTTGCGTTCATTTGAAGTCATTGAAGGGTTATCCCAGCTCTGGCTGCCTTCCCCCCGTCCCACCTCCTAGGCCACCTAGAGTCCTCTGTTGTAGCTGCACTGCCCCTAACTTCTCACTGCCCTGTGATACTATCCCCAGGAAACCTCCAGTATGCAAAGTCTCATCAGCGGCTGCTTGCCTGAGTACTTGACCATCATAGATGGAGAGAATAAGGCTAGAGCTGGGCAGTGCTGGCTGGGGTTCTCCCACATCTGAACCCAAGACTCTCCTCAGAGTCTGTCACCACAGTGTGCCCCTGCCCATGACCTCCTGCCCTGATTTTCTCTTGCTGAGGCTGGAGGTCACAGCTCTAATGGCCAGAACAGGTTCTCACTCCCATGGCTGGAGACCTTGGGTGAAGTCACTGCCCCTCCCTGGGGAGAAGGCCAAGTACATGGCCTAAGTGATTGGTGTTCTCTGAAGTCTGCCTCTGTGTGATGCCCCTGCTCCCAAACCTGCAGCTCAGTGGTTATAGAGCGGAATTGCCGTCCTCCCATCTCCAAAGCTCTTCTGCTCTCACAGGTGATTCCTGGGAGGTCTCTAATTCCTGAGTGTCCAACCCACATTTCAAGAAGGAACCCTTTGGGGCTTGTGATGTGGTGTAGTGGGTAAAGACACCACCTGTGGTGCTGGCATCCCATATGGGCACAGGTGTGAATACTGGCTGCTCCACTTCTGATCCAGCTCCCTTCTAATGTGCCTTAGAAGGCAGCGGAGGATAGCACAAGTGATTGGGCCTCTGCACCCATGTGGGATACCTGGAAGAAGTTTCTGGCTCCTGGATTTCATCCTGGGCCAGTGCTGGGGAGTGAACCAGCAGATGGAAGATCCTCCTCTCTCTCTGTAACTCTCAACGACTTAATAAATAATTAAATCTTTGAAGAAGACGCAGCCCCAGTCTGCATGCACCTTGAAGCCCAGAGGGGAAAGAGGAACATCACGCACATCCTTGTGATCAGCCCTGGGGAAATAAAAAGCACGGGGAGCCACGACAGAGCACAGCCTACCCTGGACCTGGAGGGTGAAGGGTGGGACCAGGGCAGACATTTTGTGCAGCTGTTGTCACTGGGATGCCCACATCCCCCAGTCAGCCTGGTTGGAGACCCAGCTGTTCCAATTTCTGGGAGGCATCAGATGATTCCTGGGTCCCTGCCGCCTACCTAGGAGACCCAGATGGAGTTCTGGGCTCTTGTCTTCAGCCTGGCCCAGCTTTGACTCTGTGGGCATTTGGGGAGTGAACCAGTAGATGGAAGATATCTCTCGCTCACTCTCTCTCTCCCTCTGCCTTTCAAGTAGGTGAAAACAAACTCTTAAAAGAATGTTGAGATGGGATCAGTCTTTGGCATAACGATAAAGCCACCACCTGCAGTGCTGGCATCCCATATGGGCGCTGGTTCGAGTCCTGGCTGCTCCACTTCCAATCTACCTCTCTGCTATGGCCTGTGAAAGCAGTGGAAGATGGCCCAAGTCCTTGGGCCCCTGAACCCACATGGGAGACCTGGAAGAAGCTCCTGGCTCCTGGCTTCAGATCAACACAGCTCCAGCCGTTGCAGCCATCTGGGGAGTGAACCAGTGGATGGAAGACCTCTCTCTTTCTCTCTCTCTCTCCCCCTCTGCCTCTGCCTCTGCCTCTCTATAACTCTGCCTTTCAAATTAATAAATAAATCTTTAAAA